CACCCACACCCTCCCACACCCACACCCACACCCACGATAAATGTTAGATGCAGTTTTTCAATGATCATTCATTTGATCGATAATATTCGACGAACATTTTGTTCAGTTCGCTCGCGATCTAGATGTGTGATCGGAAGAGTCTTCTCATAAATCGTCAGTGCTTGCTTATAAAAGTCGAGTGCCATCTTAAACTTGCTCAGTTTCTCATAAGTCGCTCCAATGTTATTGAGACACATAGCAGTATCTGGATGGCCAGTGTGATAATACTTCTTGTAGATCTTTAGTGCACGCTGATAGAAATCGAGAGCTTCATCGTATTTTCCTTGATCATCGAGAGCACGACCAAAATTATTGAGACTCAGAGCAATATCAGGATGACCATTTGGATAATATTTCTCATAAATTTTGGCTGCTCTTTGATAGAATTCAAGGGCTTCTGCATGTTCTTCGTGCGCGTAAATAAGACACCCAAGGCTATAAATGTTTAAAAGACAGTAAGCAATATCAGGATGACCAGTGGGATACTGTTTCTCGTATATTTTTAGCGCATGCTGATAGAAATCGAGCGCTTCATCATATTTTTCTTGCATCCGCATAACACAGCCAATACTACAAAGACTGTAAGCAATATCAGGATGACCATTCGGATAATATTCTTCTCGCATTTTCAGTGCTTTTCGATAGAACTCGAGAGCTCTATCGTACTGTCCTAGCTTGCGAAGGGCGCTACCAATGCTAGTCAGACTTATGGCAATATTTGGATGATCAGTAGGAAAACATTTCTCATAAATTTTACGGGATTCTTGGAAAAAATCTAAGGCTTCATCGCACTTTCCTTGCTTAAGAAGGACACTACCAATACTGTTCAGACTTGTGGCAATGTCGGGATGATTGGTGGGATAATACTCCTGTCGTATTTTGAGAGCTCGTTTATAGTAATCGAGAGCTTCATGGTATTTTCCTTGCTTACGGAAGATAGCTCCAATATTGTCGAGTACATATGCCGATTCTTTGATACGAGGTGGATCAGTATTTATCATTCTCTTGTAGGCACGATTATAGTAGTCCAGAGCCGGTTCCCAGTCGGCTTTGAAATAAAGGACTCGGCCAATGTTCAGTTCGATCGAAGATACATCTTCACCGTTCGACTCAAGTAATAATTGTTCAAAGTATTTTTGAGATTTGTCGTATTGACCCATGTCACACATAAGTCGTCCAAGCATGATAGAAACCGTTTTTTCTTCCGTTTCTTGACGTGTTAATTCGATGTAATCGTGTGTAATGGTTTCTCCATCTTTAGATGCATTCATATTAATGAGCCACACTGGGCCATCCTGTTGAATCGTTTCAATACGAAATGCAGCACTGAAATTGAAGAGAACCTCTTGTTCATTTGGATATTGACTGAATTTGGCAATGTCAGCAAAATTAATCGATTCACCGAGTTGTTGCACATCAAATTTAATTTGGAAGAGAACAGGCACAACATTTTTACGCTTTGTGAGTTTACTGGCGAAAGCGAGCGCTGGTTGTCGAAGTCGACTGGTGGACAAGAATCCATTGGTTGAAATGAGTTTTCCTTCACTGTTTCTGAGTTTATCGAGTTCTTCATTTGAAAGTTTCACTCCTCGATAGACTTTCAATATTCGGTCACCAGAATGAAGAATCTTTTTATGTTCACGAGCAAGACTCTCGGACAGATCACCGATAAAAAATCTGAAAGTATGAAGCAAATCAGTATCTTCACATCGCAAAGCCTTGTTGACTAGTTTGTAGATGAATGATTGCTTGGAATACCACAGAATAGCGTCTTCAGGTCGATAAGTGTCTTCGAATTCGTCAATTAATTTTTGCTGTTTAGAATTTCCTCGATAATAGTGACGACAGAAATCAAGCATTTGATTTTTAGCCTGTTGATTATGTGGAAGACGTAAAATGACATAAGAGAAGAGTTGAAACCAGAGGAATTCTACAGATTGTTTTGACAAATCTTTAGTTGAGTTTTGATGCTGCTCGAAAACACTAAATGTTTCCAGCTGTTTCTCAACGAGACTAATTTGCTCTCTGATTGATGTGCATAATGAATCGAGATCCACATAGATATCAACTATTTTCTGGTATTCATTTATCAAATGCTCGTATTTGCTTTTTTTCGTGCAGAAAATGAAGATTGAATCGATTTGACGAAGACTAACGACATGTGACAAAATGTCAGAGGCCCTTGCACCCGATGTGATTAAGAAGATTAATTCATTTTTGATTGATTTTATAAAGGTCAAACATAATTCGAGTTCTGTATGAAACACAACATAATCATTGATTTCACGCAGTCGATTCATTGTAATCTTAGTGTCCTCACGTGAGCGGATATTCGGATCAAACCAAATGACAGTCGTACTCTCCTTATTTACATCAATATTTGAAGCAACAGGTTGATACTGGGCAATAGTCCAATTTGATGCGCTGGATAATGATGTTGCCTTGGCCATGTTGGTTTGAAATGAAAACTTTCTTAAGTCAATGTCGCCTTAGATATCAATTCTGAAATTTGAATGCAGTTCCTCAATACCTATAAATATTTCTGTATTCAGATCATTTAATGAATGTAGTAAGAATATTTAGATGTTCAGTTAATACTCTTGTTGAGAATGGAGTGAAGCGAACATACCCTCTTCCCAAGAATAATAAGGCAACACCTACTTCCTCTTTTCTGGAACGATAGCGAAAACTCCTATCAGAATGTATGGTGCTCAAGAAATAACAGCAGACTTCAACAGACTTCAGTCATAAAGGCTTAAGATTTTCACAAAACTCCAGAGGATTTCACATGACTTTCAAAGATTTCGTTACACCTCACAGACTTCATGAGACTTCGCGGGCCTCATGAGGCTTCACAGATTCCATGAACCTTCGGACACTTTGTAAGACTTCTTGAGACTTCTTGAGACTTCACAAAAAGGTAAGTATAGATGTGAGTGTGTGGAGTGTATGTAGGTGAAGTTAGCCTCATTTTCGAGTAAATCCAGCCGACCTCTGACCTCAAAGCTGCCCAGCTGCCTCAGACGGCATCTTAATAGAACTCAATGAGCTCGATCGATTGGTACTGTTGGATTTTCCATAGCTCAAACCAATCGTGCAAAAAACCCAAAATGGTAAGACTCGCATAGTGGAAAACCCAAGGGGGAAACGGCGGAATGCGTATTTTCGGGATTTTCAGGATTTTTTCCGTATTTTTAGGATTTCTTTCGTATTTTTAGGATTTTCCGGATTGCCAGAAGATTTCCAGAAGATTTTGGGATTTTCGTGGGATTTCGGGATTTTCACGAGATTTCATGGATTTTTACAGGATTGCATGGATTTTTACAGGATTTTCGGGATTTTTGTCGTACTTCAGAGGTTTTGCACAGAATCTTATAATGAGAGACAATAGGTTGAGTCATAGTAAAAAATAAATCTGTCATCGCCAGTTACCTAGACACGTCACTTGTTATGATTGTTATCACACCAACTGGGACTTCAGAGGACATTAGTCTATCGTATTTTATTGAAAAAAACAGAGCAAAGAAAAACAACAAAAATCAGAAAAAATGAAAAAGAAAGAACAAAACTATCTACGTAGGAGGGGGGGGGGGGGGGGGGAAGCGGATTATTTTGGATTTGAATCCCGAGAAAGTCCAAAAAAATCCGAAAAATTCGAAAAAATCCCAAGAAATCCCAAAAAACCCGAAAATCCAAAATCGAAAGTAGTTTTCAGCAATATTTTCCGATCATATGCTCAAGTGTTTCGAACATAAATAGGCAGTTTTAAGTCCTCAATGGCTATCCTATGAGAGTACCCGTAAGTTCTTAACTGCTGTTGTATGGGGGTACCCATAGGTCTTCAAGGGCTATCCTATAGGAGTATCCATAATTCTTCAAGGGCTATCCTATGGGGGTACCCATAGGTTCTCATAGCCTATCCTATAGGGTACCCACAAGTCTTCAAGGGCTATCCTATGGGAGCTACTATAAGTTCTCATGGCCTATTCTATGGCGGTACCCATAGATCCTCAACGGCTGTCTTACAGTGGCACTTATAAGTGTGCGAGAGCCCCAGTTCAGTTTGCCGTGGTGGAGATGATCAGTCAGCTCTCATTCACATGAGATGCTACTCTCTAGCACCTCTTCAATTGAGCTCTCGGAAGTCGTGGAGCTAAAGGTGTCATGAACCAAACGTTGAACCGATCTTTGATAAAAGAGTAACTCAAAATTGACCCAAACCTGTGAAACGCAATCTCGTCGACGTAATACTAATTGTGAAGTAAAAC